GGCTAGTACGTAGGGTTAGTGCCCTCAGTTAGTACCCAGGGTTAGTGCCCACAGTTAGTACCCAGGGTTAGTGCCCATAGTTAGTACTCATGGTTAGTACTCATGAGTAGTACCCACCACTAGTACCCAGAATTAGAGTCCATGGTTGCTACCCATGGCTAGTACAGAGGGTCAGTGCCCACAGTTAGTACCCAGGGTTAGTACAAAGGATTAGTACCCATGGCTAGTACCCAGGATTAGTACCCACGGAGAGTACATAGGCTTCAACAGTGTTCCAGGCCTCAACAGTGTTCCAGGCCTCAACAGTGTTCCAGTCCTCAACAGTGTTCCTGCCCTCAACAGTGTTCCAGGCCTCAACAGTGTTCAAGGCCTCAACAGTGTTCCAGGCCTCAACAGTGTTCCAGGCCTCAACAGTGTTCCAGTCCTCAACAGTGTTCCAGTCCTCAAAAGTGTTCCAGGCCTCAACAGTGTTCCAGGCCTCAACAGTGTTCCAGGCCTCAACAGTGTTCCAGTCCTCAACAGTGTTCCAGTCCTCAACAGTGTTCCAGGCCTCAACAGTGTTCCAGGCCACAACAGTGTTCCAGGCCTCAACAGTGTTCCAGTCCTCAACAGTGTTCCAGGCCTCAACAGTGTTCTAGGCCTCAACAGTGTTCCAGGCCTCAACAGTGTTCCAGGCCTCAACAGTGTTTCAGTCCTCAACAGTGTTCCAGGCCTCAACAGTGTTCCAGGCCTCAACAGTGCTCCTGTCCTCAACAGTGTTCCTACCCTCAACAGTGCTCCTGCCCTCAACAGTGCTCCTGCCCTCAACAGTCCTCCTACCCTCAACAGTGCTCCTGCCCTTAAGAGTGCTACAGGCCTCAAGAGTACTCCAGGCCTCAAGAGTGTTCCTGCCCTCAACAGTGCTCCTGCACTCAACAGTGCTCCTACCCTCAACAGTGCTCCTGTCCTCAACAGTACTCCTGCACTCAACAGTGCTCCTACCCTCAACAGTGCTCCTGCCCTCAACAGTGCTCCTGCCCTCAACAGTGCTCCTGCCCTCAACAGTGCTCCTACCCTCAACAGTGTTCCTGCCCTCAACAGTGCTCCTACCCTCAACAGTGCTCTGCCTCAACAGTTGCTCTGCCTCAACAGTGCTCCTACCTCAAACAGTGCTCTGCCCTTAAGAGTGCTCCAGGCCTCAGAGTGCTCTGCCCTCAAACAGTGCTCCTGCACTCAACAGTGCTCCTACCCTCAACAGTGCTCCTGTCCTCAACAGTACTCCTGCACTCACAGTGCTCCTACCCTCAACAGTGCTCCAGGCCTCAACAGTGTTCCAGCCTCAACAGTGTTCCAGGCTCAACAGTGTTCAGCCTCAACAGTGTTCCAGGCCTCAACAGTGTTCCAGCACAACAGTGTTCCAGGCCTCAACAGTGTTCAGTCCTCAACAGTGTTCCAGGCACTAACAGTGTTCAGGCCTCAACAGTGTTCCAGTCTCAACAGTGTTCAGGCCTCAACAGTGTTCTAGGCCTCAACAGTGTTCCAGGCCTCAACAGTGTTCTGCACTCAACAGTGCTCCTACCCTCAAAAGGCTCCTGTCCTCAACAGTGTTCCTGCCCTCAACAGTACTCCTGCACTCAACAGTGCTCCTACCCTCAACAGTGCTCCAGGCCTCAACAGTGCTCCTGCACTCAACAGTGCTCTACCCTCAACAGTGCTCCTGCCCTTAATAGTGCTCCTGCTTCAACAGTGTTCCTGCATCAACAGTGCTCCTGCCCTTAATAGTGTTCCTGCCCTCAACAGTGCTCCTACCCTCAACAGTGCTCCTGACCTCAACAGTGCTCCTGACCTCAACAGTGCTCCTACCCTCAACAGCACTCCTGCCCTCAACAGTGCTCCAGCCCTCAACAGTGCTCCTACCCTCAACAGTGCTCCTGCCCTCAACAGTGCTCCTGCCCTCAACAGTGTCCTGCCCTCAACAGTGCTCCTGCACTCAACAGTGCTCCTACCCTCAACAGTGCTCCTACCCTCAACAGCACTCCTGCCCTTAACAGTGCTCCTACCCTCAACAGTGCTCCTACCCTCAACAGTGCTCCTGCCCTCAACAGTGCTCCTACCCTCAACAGTGCTCCTACCCTCAACAGTGCTCCTACCCTCAACAGTGCTCCTACCCTCAACAGTGCTCCTGCCCTTAACAGTGCTCCTGCCCTCAACAATGCTCCTATCAACAGTGCTCCTACCCTCAACAGTGCCCCTGCCCTTAACAGTGCTCCTACCCTCAACAGTGCCCCTGCCCTTAACAGTGCTCCTACCCTCAACAGTGCCCCCGCCCTTAACAGTGTTCCTACCCTCAACAGTGCCCCCGCCCTTAACAGTGCTCCAGGCCTCGTTAAGCCTCTTCCCAACCCTAAGATACATAAAATAAACATTAACCAACATTTCCCAAGTATAAAAATAAATCAAGTTTTCTGGATATAATATTTACTTACTACATAATGTTGCTCCAGGTAACTACAAACTTGACCACACGAAACAATCATTCTTTCAACGTTTATAAATTGTCACATTACTATACTTAGAGTTTGTTTTACGGGTGTTAAACTCTTGTGTCATATTATTAAACTTGTAAAAGATGCAAGAAATAGAAAGACGTATTTAGAAGAAACATAAAACAAACTCGGAATCAGCCATTAGAACATGTTAAGATTTTTTTTATCTTTAATGATTAAGTAAAGTTTAATTTTATTGACCAGTTTAATTTTTATAGAAGAAATGGAGTTTTTTATACTTTAATATATATATTATATATATATATATATATATATAATATTATATATATATATATATATAATGTATTATATATATACATACATATTCATGCACACATACATACAGTAGACAAGCACATTTCGCGCAATATGGTACAGAAAAATGGAGCTATATACGAAAATGCAATATATGGAGTGAATAACTTATGGGAGATAATAGGCTATGTTCTGTCTCACCTCTGAAAAACTCAATTTTTGTTGCAAATGCATTAATAATAAACTAGGTATTGTATAATAATTTTAAAAGGAAGGCAGATGTTATGGGCACATTAAGCACGTTATTATAATATATTACAGATGAGTAAATTAAGATAACCTATGAAAGTCAAGCAATATAAACTTATCTTAAGTTCTAGTTTTTTAAAAAGGCTTGATGTTAGTATAAAAGTTTAATATGTGTCCCGATTGGTCCTCAGATGAGGTAATGAATAAGACACACATGCAAAATTTGGATATGTTCATTTTTAAAACATTTCACATATATTGTAGGCTTCTTCTGCCAAAGACCCACAAACCAAATGTGCCTAATGAGACCACTACATCGGGTATTGGCAGTGGTGACTTGTAACTTGCGCAGTGAAGACGTGACTAGTGTACACTCTGTGGACTGAACCAAGATTCCCTCAATTGAGCAACTTCACCAGCAGCTTAAAAATGAATTGAGGGTAGCTAAGCTCGAGATATGGTGATTGATAGAGGAAAACAAGAGGATTCGTAGTAGTCCTCAGGTCAAGAAGGAAACCTGGGCAGTAGCCAGACAGCATGGATAAAGTTGAAGATCAAGAGGATGAATGGAGAGGTAGACACGATGAAGAAGAGACTGCTGTGGAAACTTTGAACTCTTTCTCTGTGCTATCAGACAAATGCGAGTGGACTACTGGGAACGTCACAATGAAGAACAACAAGGTAAGAATATTGTGCTGGTTGGGAACAGTCAGTTTAGTTACATGGATAGGGCCTTCTGCTTGAAGGATAGGAGCAGGAGACAGAGGGTGTGCTTCCCTAGGGCTGGGATGGAAGATATTGTTAGCCAGTTTGACATCATATATGGTAATGGGATCAATCCTATTATCTGCCTCAGTGCTGGAGGCAATGATGTAGGCAAATGTAGAAGTGAGGATTTAGTTAGAAGGTATAAAACAGCAATAGACATTATTAGGACGAAGGGAGGGAGCCCTGTTATATGTGGCATTATGCCAAGAAGGGGGTGTTAGAAATGAATGGCTGTCCAGAGCGACTGGTATAAATTGCTGGCTGGACAAACACTGTAAGGATAATGCAGATGAGGTTCAGTGTGGACAAGTGTAAAGTAATAGGACTTGGTAATGAAAATAACCCTCAAAGTTATAAACTAGGTGAAGTAGAGCTTGATCATACAGAATGTGAAAGAGACTTGGGAGTCATGGTAAGCAGAAATCTAAAGCCAAGACAGCAGTGCCTAAGTGTGTGCAATAAGGTTAGCAGATTACTAGGATTTATTTCAAGAAGTATAAGTAACAGAAGTCCAAAAGTTATTTTACAGCTCCATACATCACTAGTGAGGCCTCATTTGGATTATGCCGCTCAGTTTTGGTCTCCTTGATGATAAATTAGACACATGTGCAACAATTGGGTATCTTTAATGAGGAAACGCTTCGCCACAGCCCTAACAAGCCCATTCTCAATGCCACCCATGCAATAAGCTCTAATAAATCTATTTACTCATGGGCAAGTCCCACTTAAATCCAGCCCCTCTCACTCATGTATTTATCCATCTAAACTTGAAACTACCGAAGATTTTAGCTTCCATAACCGTACTAAGCAGACTGTTCCACTCATCAGCTACCTTATTTCCAAACAAGAATTAGTGCACAGCAGCAAATAAAAGAGGCCGGGGAGTGGCATGAACCTGCTTTGCATGGGTCAGTAGGCCTGTTGCAGTGTTCCTTCTTTCTTATGTTTTTATGAAACTGGCCCATCTGTGCTGCAGTAAAAGCTGGCAACGAGTAGAGTCGCCGCGAAAGGTGGATATTTATACGAAAAAAATAATCATAAAAACGGAAACGCAGTACCCGAAGGCGCGAAATGTGGTGCTCTACTGTACATAATATATATATATATATATATATTAATATATATATATATATATATATATATATATATATATTATATATATATATATATATTCTTTATTTTGGAAATAGAGTGAATACTTACCTCTGGTAGGGCTACGGCCACCAGGTTGGTTTGGATTGTATCCTGGCTGGTTGGGGTTATACCCTGGTTGATTTGGGTAATACCCAGGATGATCTGGATTATATCCAGGCCGGTAACCTGGCTGATTTGGGTAATGACTTGGTTGGTTTGGATTGTATCCAGGCTGATTAGGATTATAACCTGGATAATTTGGATACTGTCCTGGTTGAGGCTGACCTGGTTGAGGCTGACCTGGTTGAGGAGGGCCTGGTTGAGGTGGACGTGGTTGAGGTGGACCTGGCTGAGGTTGTGGACCTGGCTGAGGTTGGGGTCTGGGCTGGGAAGGAGGTCTGGGAGCTGGAGCTGGTGCGGGAGCTGGAGCTGGTTTGTTGGGGTCAAAGTCAAAAGGAAGGTCAAAGAAGTCTCCTCCTCCTGCTGCTTGTGTTCCTCCTGACGAAGTCTTGCCCGCGTCTCCGGGCGCACATCTCTTCAGATTCTTGTCTTCGTGGGTGCCAGCCGGGCACGCACAGTACTTCCCCTGGCACACACCGTCATATAACGACCCACAAGGGTCGTTCACCTCGCCTTTATTGGCATCCAAGTTGCACTTCGTCGATCTCACGCCTGCAAGAAATATTTTCACTAAAATATACGAATTGACATAATATATTCACTGTTGACATCGAAATAAAACATGGTTATACCAGCGAGCTTTCTTATAAACCTTTACACAGTACGGTTTTTTTTTTGTTAGGTAAAAGGACACAAGTGCAACTAACGTGACACAATAAAACATCACATTAGTTGCACTTGTGTCCTTTTACGTAACATACTGTCGGTAATAATTCCAACATTAATTCAACGAATTTTTTTTGTAAGTGTATTAAAAAAGTACATTCAAAAATTGAACAGTATGTAAAGAGCCTTCAAGTTTTGGTTGAACTTTTTCAATCAAATTTAAAAGAAATAACACTTTATAGAGGAGCTGTATAAGAGAATTGACTGTTTTTGTACACTCGGTTCTTCGTCAGGTTTTTAACTCTAAGTTATTTCTAAACTATTTATATACACCAAATAATTAAGACAGGCTATAACACATTTGCCGTTTTTGCAGACCTAGGAAACATTCGTACTTACAATGGAAATAAATGGTATAAAATACCGACACAATGGAAATATAAACACAAGCAGTATAGTGTGATCCTTAACTGGCAACGTTTCGCCCACACAGTGGTCTTTATCAAGTCACAGATCTGTTTGTGACTTGATAAAGCCCACTGTGTGGGTGAAACGTAGTCAATAAAAGATCACATTATACTGCTTATGTGTTTATATTTCCATTTGTAATTTCAACATTATAACAGAAATGACATGTAAGCCAGGAATGGGGTTCACTTATCTAGGGCAGGTGTGGGTTTTCTTGCTAGTTCAGTTGAAGGTGCTGTTAGGACTTTAAACTAGGATTAATTAGATATGGGCTTAGGAATGGTAAATAATGATTGTGGAAATATTGACATAGGCTTTGATATTATTAATCTTAAAATAACAGTCATCGAGTAATACTGGGTAATGATAATAACAGAAATTGTGTAAAAGCAAAGCCAAAGCATGTGTGAGGAACTTTGATGTCATGGCAATAACTGAAACATGGTATAATTTAAAGAGTCAGGATATGGTTTCTGAGTGACATATTCGAAGGTTTAAGTTGTTCCATGTGGATAGATATAACGCAAAGGGGGTGGAGTTGCATTATATGTACAAGAAAATATAAATTGTTGCATAAAAACAGGTATAAAAATAGATGGTTTAGTAACATAATCTGTTTGGGTAGAATTTCTAGAAAGTCAAGAAAAACTTATATCAACCTCCTGGCTTGGAAAAAGATGAGACTTCTAGACATATAACGTTAGGGCTTCTAGACATGATAACGTAGTGATACAAGGGGGTTTAAACAGTGGTGATCTATACTTAGCTCTCAGCGGTGATCTGTACTTAGCTGTGTCAAGACATGACTAGTGTGCTCTTCGTTCTCAGCTACCTGAGATTGTGATGATGGCTTCCTTCGGCTATGAGCAGCTATATCTCCAGCTTAAGGCAGAATTAAAGGAAGCAAGAAGAGAAATTCAACGACTGAAAGGTATGTGCAATATTTATCCCCATAACAATGTCGCCGATGATCGGACCAACGAATGGATGCTAGTCGGAACTGATGGGAAGAGGCTGAAGATGAAGAAGATCCAGGAGACTGCTGTGAAAACCAGCAACTCTTTTTCCTGGTTATCAGATGAATTGAATCGACCATCCATGATCTTCCAATGAAGACAGTTCCAACAAAGACAACTGTTAACGACACAGTGAAGCCAGCCAGTGAAGACATCCCAGTGAAGTCCATCACTACTAAGACCATCGGAAACATCATGCACACCTCCAGTCAAGGTAAGAACATTGTTTTAGTTGTGGATAGTCAGATTAAGTTTATGGATAGGGCTTTTTGTCTTAGAGATAGGAAGAGGAGGCAGAGAGTATGTTTTCCTGGGCTGGGATGAAGGATGTTGCTAGCCATCTGGACATCATGAGAGGTACTGGCAGCAATCCTATTATCTGTCTCAGTCCTGGAGGCAACGATGTTGGCAGACTGTATTAATATTAGTAGAATTACTGACAATATGTTAAGTAAAAGGACAGAAGTGCAACTAATGTGATATTTTATTGTGGCAACATTTTGCTCCAGGAGCTTTGTCAAGATGTTGCAGACAACATGGACACAAATGGTATATATAAGCTTTGAGTGAGGTGTAGTACTAGTGGAGGTAGTAGTAGTAGTTATACATATGGTGGAAAAGTGAGCTGGTATATGAGTAAAAAGTTTACAAAAGCTATGACTTTGGTAGCATAAAAATAGGTTGGGCAAATGTATATGGTTGGATTTGAGAAGGCCTGTTTCAGTGCCCTTCCTCTATTACATAAGAATATAAGAAAAGAGAAACACTGCAGCAGGCCAACAGGCCTGCGGCAGTGCCTGGGCATGTCCTTTTATGTAGTAGCATTATGTGATGGCAAGGTTTATTATTTTCAGGAGGATTCCTGCTAAGCCTTCTGAGATGAAGAAGCTGCCTTTGTCTTGTTTGTGTTAGAAACATTTACATTTGCAGAAATTAGGTTCTTTGATCACTAGTCAGGCATCCCTGAATTTCATGAGATGACTGGCGGAATTCCAGTGTTGTACGCAGGCATTGTTCAAGTTATCGTTCCTACTTGCATTAATGCATGCAGGAATGATACTTAAGGTGTTGGCATATAAATGACCTCGAGGAGACAGGAGCTGTGAGTGGAGGAAACAAGTGTAGTCAAGGACAAGATAAAACCAATATTTCAAACTAGTAATACCACAGGAAATAGCAAACAAGAAGACTCCACTAGCAATAGTGAGGATATATTACCAGAAACAACTGGTGAGAGCTCCATTGTTAGTACTAGTGAGGATAGGAATAAGACAGG